AAACTATAAGGCCTTTATGCTGTAGAAAGGGGAGCATCACTCAAATCTACCTTGATATAACTGCACTGAGATTTCTTCTTCAGAAACAATTTAAACAATACTGCAATTTTGTGATTTCTTCACTAAAGCAGATTAATACATTATGCAGTATACAGTTGGACATGCCGCTGAGCTGAGATTCAGACTTATGCTTCGTCAGAACAGACTTATGCTTTAATACTTAAACGTTACACTGAGGTTAAACGTTACACTGAGACCATTAAGCATGAAATATATAAAGACTCTTTCAATCATAATAGAGGTACCAATTCAAGCCCCTACTTTATCTGCATTTAAACAAGCCAGCAAATAGGGACAAAACAGCGTATCTCAAGTCACGCCCTATTCTAACCTGGACTATCAAGCACACACTTTTAGGTTGACAGTGTTTAAGCTCATAACCTTTGTTTTATCATGCCTTGCGTCCTCCACCATTCTGTAGCGAATCAGCTCAAAGGGGAAATATTGATAATTAATCATAACTAGTTATAAATAATTATAAATATTTAGATCCGCTGTAAGTATTTACTTGACCTCTCGGGGTCAACTGTCTGTCAATTCTAAGAATGTTAATTTCCTGGTTAAGGGAAATAACTTTCTTACTGTACAATTCTACACCGAGCCTGTAGCATAAATCTGCATGATTAAGGGACTCCAGTCCCAGTGAATGGAAAGTCAAGGCCGAAGCCTGGCGCAAACTTAGGGTGTTCTTAGGAGCTTTGTCGCTCACATATTCATCTTCTCAGAATCTAACCAAACCGCAGACTGGAGGCGGGTTACTGATGTGAGTTCTTTAAGGTCTGAGAAGATTCATGCCTCTCAATGTGGGCTGGTCCAATGAGAAAGGCTGAAATTCCAAGCGGGAGTTTGGAAATACTGGGGAGTTTTATGACCCTTTGTGTAAAAGCATGGTAATTTGCATATGGAACTTGAATCAAAATTACCAGAGATTCTCAGAACACTAATATATTGCCTATGTACCAACATATAATATACACTCTCGTTTAGATCATCAGAAGATGAATTCATAGGTACTAAACATGGTAGGATTACATATAGGTAAGATGACATGAACGAGTGGTTCTATCATAAGCCTGCATAAAACAGTATACAATATAAAATACAATATACAAGGACAGTAACAACATACACAATGACCTGAAGGATATGAGTGTTCATTCAAAGAAAGGTTTTCCTATGAATTAATTAGAGAACAGTCCATTTCTCTTGGCATTATGTGTCTGTCTTATGAGGAAAATGGGTGAGTTTCTCTACCCACATTCCTTTGGGCAATAAAACCAGTGATTGGTTGCCATGGAATCAGAGGCCTGTTCGTTCGCAGACATCCTGGCACCCAGCATGTTTATTGGGTGAGGGGTCTGTGATTATTTGTTAATCTAATGAATAATTGATTTGTTAAATCAAATGAAAAATGGTGTGTCTGATTGGTCCAGACACTACAGTAGTAATGTTGTCTCTGGTCTGTGAGCGTAAATGCGTTCAGGGGGCGTGGCTTTGGCTGGCGATTGCAGGGAGGGTGGGACGTTCGCTTTCAGTGCTATCAGGCTAAAGTTAACATTTTCCAAGATCTCCTACTGCACCTTTAAATTGTCTCAAATTCAGATTCGATGGGTCTTAAATATGTTTGGTCACATTACAGCTAAAATATCTTCAGTCTGACGGAACTAATGACCGTTTACAATCATTGGACAGACCGAAGATTGTTTTTCATCCAAACATCCTGATTAAAACAAAATAACCAGCGAAGCATCGAAACGAAAGAATGATACTTCTGATTTTAATACATTCAACGTAAACAGCGATTGATAATGGAATGGTATTTCTGTTCTCTTTCTGTTCACTTCAAAACAAATGAGCGTAACAGCACACATAAAGAAACTCTGAAGAAACACACTGAGGTATCAAAATATGTAGTTTATTTATAACATGATATAGTTCAGTAAAATACCAAGGGAGCTATTTTGCTGAATATTCTCACGATTGCAAATGTTAAATTGATTTTAGTTCAATAAACAATTAAAGTTAGTTAGTGAAGTTAAGTTACTTACATTTTAGACACAATATTTACTGTTTTGTTCTGTTTCACCAATGAAAATAGTTCCGAACAAGGAACACAGCAGAAGTATCGCACAATCTCCAAGCAACACTCGGCGGTGTTTTGTTCCTGAATGATTCAGCGTTTTGCACGAATCGGTTGAATGAATGACTCACTCATTAAGTGACTTACCGCCACCTGCTGGTGGTTTAGTATGTTGAAAAGTATACATTTCCCCCCCAACATTTCTTATTTGTATATTCATAAATGTATTTAAAACATTAATCACATAACATTATTTATTGCAGTTGTAATTTTGCAGTGTATTATTTAATCTGAGGTAAACTGTCTGTTGCTTTCAGTATGGCTATAAGGTCACACAAAATTATATTTAAATTCCTATTAGACACTTTTAACATTGAATAAAGCACACAATCAGTATGTGAGATTATCTACTGTCATATAGTTTGTATGTTGTTCCAGCCGCGACTTCGCGGAAACCGTTTCTAAAATAGAAATTTTGCGTATCGCGTTCACGGCTAGTTAGGACAAAACCTCTGATTAACATGAAAAAGCCTTTTATCATGTGTCGCCCCGTCGCGTGTAGTTGGGACACGGTGTTAGACAGCATCCTTAAAAGTGAGTAAGTATGTGGTTTCATTCTATGAACCAGACACTTGAAAATGCTTTGGTCAAGCAGTTTTCAGCCCCCCAAAACAAGACCATAAGTCAGCATTAAATTAAAATTGAGCCCCCCTGACATCCAGTTGCAACAAACTCCTGAAGTTAAGAAAACCTTTCTTGCAACCAGTCGCTGGTCTTACTGTTATCCAATAGTCAAATAGATGTGCAGGCATTTTAGTGAATTCATTCTGATGGGGGGTTTTTTCATCACCCAATTAATTCTCAGTGGATGAAATAAAGTCCTGTCCTGCATTTATTTTTGATAAATATCCTGTTTCTCTCATAAATACCTCAAATTGTGCATGTAAAATGGGTTGCAAACAACAGTTAATGTTCATGTTTTATTTTTACAATGGCAAGAAATGAAGAGGATGCCTACTAGAGCTTAAAGTTAGTCGTTGATCAGTGAGGGAATGACTCATTTGTGCTATGTGTAAGAAAAGTATTTTTTGTATAATTTCACTTGCATTGTGTTGTTTTGACTGACGTATATTTCTGTGTTTGTTCAGATCAAAATGCAGGAGGTGGCATTAGAGATGCGGTTGACTCCGTTCCTGGTGTTTTTGCGAAACGCATTGGAACAACTGCAAGAGCGGGACACCAATAACTTCTTCACTGAGCCTGTACCTTTAAGTGAGGTACACACACACAGCCCTTACAGAGGTGTCTCAAACTCCTCTAGGGTATTTTACTTTTCAGTTAATTGTTATAAAAAAAGGCCAGGTTTAGTTTTTCTTAATTTTTTGGGGGGGGGGGGGGGGGGGTTTTTTTTAAATATTTTGATTTTTTTTTTTTTTTTTTTTTTTTTTTTTTTTTTTTTTTTTTCTCTATTTATTAAAGAATCCTGGAGAAAAAGTATCACAGTACCTACATAAATATTAAGCAGCACAACTGTTTTCATAAGAAATGTTTCTTAAGCACCAAATCAGCATATCATCAAGACTTGAGTAATGGCTGCTGAAAATTCACTTTTGCCATCTAAGGAATAAATTACATTTTATAGTTTATTAAAACAGACAACAGTTATTTTAAATTGTAATAATATTTCACAATAATACAGATTTTACTGTATTTAATGAACAGCTTAATGAAAAAAAATTTTTAATTATTGTTTAAAAAAAACGGCCTGCTTTTGTTTTTTTTATTTTTTGGGGGGGGGGGGGGATTTCTTTATAAACATTGTAGATTTTTTTTTATTTCATTTTTTTCTATTTTCCACTTGTTTCTCGCCATGAATATAGCTGTGGTTGCTGGAATGGTGCTAAATTATAAGCATTCAATCAATAGCCTGATGAAGGTGATTCATCCATGAGTTGGAAATCTTCATTGCATAGTAATTCTACTGCTTTTTGTCTTTTGTTTTTATGTTTTCTGCGTTACATTGTACGGAATTTTAACTCAGTTGTAAGGGAATTAATTATAATTAATTCAGGTTTTAGAGGACTAGGTTCTGAAGAGCCTAATTCAACCTGATTCGAACTGATTCTAAATTTGATAGTTTACACTTTAAATCAAGGGTCGTCCAGCGAGCCGGTGATTCTCAGTATATTTTAACAAATTAAATGTGTTTTCCTGGCCACGGTCAACACACTTATGATAATTTGTTAGCTCTTAGAGGGGTAATTATTATGAGTAAGCTACGAGCTAGGCAGCAAGCAAGGATCTTTTGGCAAAGGTTTTAACCTTGAAATTATATGACACCAACATTATTCTTTATAAATGAAACATGAATTTTATTGGCTATTCTAGATTACATCAAACTAAGCTAAAACACAAATACACACAAACATACAGTTTCAGAGGAAGGAAATTATGTTAACGGAGTTCTGAGGAAAGCCCAAAGTTTTAGCAAGATATTTGCTACCGTTCATTTACGTGTGACCTGAGAAAATCACAAAGCACAGGTTTGTCTTATGTTTACTTTTCAAAATAGCTTGACACCAGTTCAGAGAGAGAAGATGGTTCGTTTACTTGCATTCTGCGTGGTTGACAGCCGAAAAGTTGAGATGACGTCGTTACTGGGCTTCCCGGCTGGCCGCTGAGGGAATTCCGTTGCTGATTGGTCGCTGAGGTGACCTTTGGATGACGTCTTTTCTTTGGGAAACCCCTCGTTGGATTGCTTGGTTTCTTTATGACGCGGAGGCTTCAGCAGTTTGCTACAGTCTGAGTTTGTGTTAAGTTCTTTGAAGATCGCGAAGTTCCAATTGAAGTGTTTGAGTTTGAGATGGTGGTGGTCTCTTTTGATGGTAAGCGCGTGAGCACCCGTTGGAGTGCTCATTACAGGCGACCGGCGAGAAGCAGAAGAAGCAGCAGCAAGCACTCGAGTCTGTCTTGCATTGGGTTTTTGTTCCGCTGCATAAGTCCATCCCACGAGGCGACCTTCCAATCGCCTTCTTGCACAGGCGGAGCCTGCATACATTAACAAGAGGCTTCAATTCATCACATGAGGACACCATCTATAAAAGTTGTTAATACTCCTATAAAGTCTCTTAAAAGCAAGTATTGTACATACTATTAAAGTTTACTTCATTTCAACATTCTGCATTTGTCACCAGTTTCCGTTCGATACTAAACTTCACCTATCTCACACATATATTAATAACCTAATTTTCTAAAAAGGGGTAATAAACACTGATTAACGTTGCACCGTTTAAATGAACACATCAAGCATATACATATAAGACATACAACATATTATTTGTGACTCTATGCTCCGATATTTTCATACTTTCAACGATTGTCTCAGAAATCGTCCTTTTCTTTGGAACGCAAAGGGGAAAAGGGGGAGGTGTCCTGAGGTCAATTTTGTGTCAGAGTTGAGAGTCTTCCAAGTTTCTCCTGCTGGACAGGGAGCTATAAAATTGTCTCTTTTGTTGACGGGATTATCAATTTATGTGTTAAGCGGTCATGAGGTCCGTGCGATTCTGTGCGGGACTCTGTCTAGATACCAGGTTCTTTGTTCCGTGGTCCATTAGATGGTTTATTTATGCTGTAGCCAGTCACGAAACCTACTGACCTTCTGTGGCTTAAATTAATCCAGATGGGAGGGGGTCAGTTCTTGTTGTCTTAGTATGGTGTCGACATCGGAGGTGGTTTGGTAAATCATTATCTCCGTGTTTTCTTTGTAAAGATAAGCAGAGCGAGGCAGGAACTCATTGGAGAGAGATACGCCTGGGCTGACCATGGTTCATGCTTTTACGACTCTCATCTGGTTTGTGTGATGTTCGGAAATGCCTTACAACATAATGTGAAGCTGTTTTTGCTCTGATGCCAGAGTTGTCATCTGTTATGAAGTTATCTGAATACTTCAGATATAACCCTTACTGTGAGTGTGGTTGTGTTGTGTATTCCCCAGGTCCCAGATTACCTGGACCACATCGAGCGCCCAATGGATTTCCAGACCATGTGGAAGTGTTTAGAGTCGCATCGCTATCTCAGCTTCGAAGCTTTCGAGGGCGACTTTCTGTTGATCGTCAACAACTGTTTGAAGTACAACGCCAAAGACACGGTTTTCTACCGCGCCGCACTACGCTTGCGAGAAGCAGGTGCCGCTGTTTTACGGCAAGCTCGCAGACAGGCAGAGAGAATCGGATTCGATTACGAGACAGGCATGCATCTTCCTCGAGAGCCAAGCCCAGATTCACCACATGAACGAGAGAGAGAGAGACAGCGAGACAGAGACCGAGAGAAATCAGCATCACTCATTGATGACGGTGAGTATGTTATCTAACAAGTACACTAAAATTACACTAGCATTTAACTTAGTAGTTTTAGCATATTAAATGCCTGTGTCCAGCCTAGAGATGTCAATTTTCGACCATTCCCATGATCGATCATCGTTTAAATTAACAATGAATGAATGAATGAATGAATGATGCATTTATATAGCGCTTTACTGTGTATTGTTGTACACCCAAAGCGCTTTACAATCATGTGGGGGGGTCTCTCCTCAACCACCACCAGTGTGCAGCATCCACTTGGATGATGCGACGGCAGCCACAGGACAACGGCGCCAGTGCGCTCACCACACACCAGCTACAGGTGGAGAGGAGAGAAAGTCATAGAGCCAATCAAGTGGATGGGGATTATTAGGAGGCCATGATTGACAAGGGCCATGGGGGCAATTTGGCCAGGACACTGGGGTTACACCCCTACTCTTTACGAGACGTGCCATGGGATTTTTAATGACCACAGAGAGTCAGGACCTCGGTTTAACGTCTCATCCGAAAGACGGTGCTTTTTGACAGTATAGTGTCCCCGTCACTACACTGGGGCATTAGGACCCACACAGACCACAAGGTGAGCACCCCCTGCTGGCCTCACTAACACCTCTTCCAGCAGCAACCTAGTTTTCCCAGGAGGTCTCCCATCCAGGTACTGACCAGGCTCAGCCCTGCTTAGCTTCAGTGGGCAATATGATATGGCTGTGGCAAATTAAATTAACAATCAATTAATCAAATGATCATTAACCTTAATACTGCAAAATGCATCTATTGCAGTGGCATACAGTCATGACAGGATGTGCAAATGCCACTCAAAACACCAGCTTCCTCACCCGAATTAAAGGGGTTTTTAATCTAAATAAAAGACTAGTAGCAGGATTGTAAAATGAATAGATGTGATTCTGATCATTTGATAAAATGAAGAGAGCACACCGTAGTTACGTTGGGATCATTATACTTGTTGGCTGTTTCATATCCCGATGAATGGTTTCATGCTGCTCGTTGTTGGATTTTAAAACACAATTGCAATGTTTGCAATTGACGCTCCAACTCCAGACCGAGATGGCAGACCTGCCAACCTGTACGCATATTGACCCAAGTCCCGTTTATAACGTGCATTTGAAAAAGCAACACGCGGCGAACGTCTTCCCTTGTAATGAGAAGCGTTTTTATACCTGATGTCAAAAGTGAACATTATAACAAGTTTTTACTCTCCAACATCAGTCTAGTGTTTGAAATAACTTCCTTTTGTGATCTGATGTGGCTTCTTATCACAGAATGAAGCAGAAAATATATTCTGTACTGTAAAAAAGGCTATGTTGATAAGCAGTGGATTATAAATATACAAAATTATGAAAATACCTTAGGTGGCTTTGAAGAACACAGAAAAACTACATATTTTCGCTGTCAAGTCACCTTTATTTATATAGCGCTTTTAACAATACAGATTGTGTCAAAGCAACTGTACAGCATTAATTAGGAAAATAGTGTCAATAATGCAAAGTGACAATAGTAAACACTCATTTTTCAGTTAAAGGCAGTTCATCATTGAATTCAGTGATGTCAACATCCAGCTCAGTTTAGTTTAAATAGTATCTGTGCAATCAAGTCAACGATATCGCTGGAAATGAAGTGTCCCCAACTAAACAAGCCAGAGGCGACAGCGGCAAGGAACCAAAACTCCATCGGTGACAGAATGGAGAAAATACCTTGGGAGAAACCAGGCTCAGTCGGGGGCCAGTTCTCTCTCATTCGACACAAAATCAAATGTTTCCATATTCGATGTATTTGAATAGCAAATTATTATTTATTATGTAGCCTAGGCTACTTCACTGCCGTTCCAGTATCCACGTAAAACTAAATGTTTTGCATAACATCACGGCGGTACAGTGATAACACTTAACCTTAACGGAACAGATTTTACTAGCCTACATTTTTTTTTACTACATATTTTTTTCCATATGCTTGACTGACTGTATTATGATAATGAACAGGCTGCATTGTCAAGGTAGCAATGCTTAACTGTGCATGCATGCGGCGCCGGCGCAATCACTTGAATTTTTTTCCCTTCTAACAGTTCCTTCTAAAGATAGGAATTGTAAAAGGTTTGCCTTTATTTGTGTACATTCACAATAAAAACAAATCTTTGTGCTTTCGTAAAATAAGCCTAAAGAAAAATAGATGCCGCTTTCTGCCATCTGTTTTCCTTTCGCGCAGCACAAAAATGAATCGAAACTCTGCATACTAGGCTAATTGTTTTTCTTTCATTTTCTTAATTTATTTAAGTAAAAATACGTTTCTTGTATAGGCCTATTTATTTGTTTTATATATATATATATATATATATATAGCCTAGCTTTATTCTGTTTTTCTCCACTCGCAGAAGCGCTGCAGGTACATGATGTGATATGACAATGTGAATCCTCATGTTCTGTTGTTTGCTGCTTTTTGCGCATGTAAAATTAATCCCCTGGAAACAAATATTAGTACTTTTAACGGGTCACAGACACGTATCCTTTCTAATTTAATTCAATTCTAATTTAAAATAATCTTGTCGGTTAATGAGCGTCGGTTAGGAAAAATAACCGAAATTAACATCCCTAGAACAGACGAAACCAGTAGTTCAGTTCCAGGCTGCAGCAAAGTCAGATTGTGCGGAGGACCCGGTGGCCTTCTAGGAGACAAGGTCTTCACTCTGGGGATCTGTCTCTGGGGCTCATCTAGTTGTCCTGATCTCCGCTGACATTCAGGGCTGTAGAGGTTCTCTCTAGGTGCTGATCCACCATCTGATCTGGATACAGACTGGATCCGGGTGACTGCAGTAACCATCTGATCTGGATACAGACTGGATCTGGTGGCTACGGTGACCTCGGAATAAGAAAGAAACTAATATTAGCGTAGATGCCATTCTTCTAACAATGTAACAAGTACATCGGGTGTTGGAATCGGAATTGTTCCCGGTTCCGGTTGACCTAATTAATGCGGCCTATAAATACTTTAACGGATTTGAATATTAGAAATGTGTTGGTGTGTTATGTGTAAGACAGGTTAAAGAGATGGGTCTTTAATCTAGATTTAAACTGACAGATTGTGTCTGCCTCCCGAACGATGTTAGGTAGGTTATTCCAGAGTTTGGGTGCTAAATAGGAAAAGGATCTGCCGCCCGCAGTTGATTTTGATATTCTAGGTATTATTAAATTGCCAGAGTTTTGAGAACGCAGTGGACGTGGAGGACTATAATGCAATAAGAGCTTTATAAGTAATAAGCAAGATTTTTAAATCTATATGATGTTTAATAGGTAGCCAGTGCAGTGTTGACAGAACCGGGCTAATATGGTCATACTTCCTGGTTCTAGTAAGAACTCTAGCTGCTGTATTTTGGACCAGCTGGAGTTTGTTTATTAAGTGCGCAGAACAACCACCCAATAAAGCATTACAATAATCTAACCTTGAGGTTGTGAGCGCATGAATTAACGTTTCTGCATTTGACATTGAGAGCATAGGTCATAATTTAGTCGTAATAAAATATATTTTTAGATGGAAAAATGCGATTTTACAAATGTTTCAGGTCCGATAATTAACACCTGTTTTTTCAGAATTTAGCAGTAAGAAATTACTCGTCATCCAGTTTTTTATATAGACTATGCATTGCGTTAAATTGGTATGTTTCACAGGGCTGAGTGTCATCAGCATAACAGTGAAAGCTAACTCCGTGTTTCCTGATGATATCTCCCAGGGGTAACATGTAAAGTGTGAAAAGTAACGGCCCTAGTACTGAGCCTTGAGGTACTCCATACTGTACTTGTGATCGATATGATACCTCTTCATTCACTGCTACGAATTGATGGCGGTCAGATATTGATTTGAACCATGCTAATGCACTTCCATTAAAGCCAACAAAGTTTTCTAGTCTATTCAAAAGAATGTTGTGGTCAATAGTGTTGAACGCAGCGCTAAGATCCAGTAGCACACCTAGGTTCCTAACTGTTGACGAGGAATTGACAGAGCAGCCATCAAGTGTTAGACGGTATTCTAGGTTATTACATGCAGAGTTTTTAGGTCCTATAATTTACACCTGTTTTTTCAGAATTTAGCAGTAAGAAATTACTCGTCATCCAGTTTTTTATATAGACTATGCATTGCGTTAAATTGGTATGTTTCACAGGGCTGAGTGTCATCAGCATAACAGTGAAAGCTAACTCCGTGTTTCCTGATGATATCTCCCAGGGGTAACATGTAAAGTGTGAAAAGTAACGGCCCTAGTACTGAGCCTTGAGGTACTCCATACTGTACTTGTGATCGATATGATACCTCTTCATTCACTGCTACGAATTGATGGCGGTCAGATATTGATTTGAACCATGCTAATGCACTTCCATTAAAGCCAACAAAGTTTTCTAGTCTATTCAAAAGAATGTTGTGGTCAATAGTGTTGAACGCAGCGCTAAGATCCAGTAGCACTAATAGAGAGATACAACCACGATCAGATGATAAGAGCAGGTCATTTGTAACTCTATTTCGAGCAGTCTCAGTACTATGATACGGTCTAAATCCTGAATGGAAATACTCACGGATACCATCGAGTGTTTATTGTCTTAATGTTTCATCATTCAAAGCGTTTCTATATTCTTTTTAATCAGTTACAGCGACAACTGGAGGTTTTTGTCCATATTAGGGATTTTCTGGAGCGTTCTATTACTTCTGTGAAGCATATGTGGATTTTCGCCCTCTGGATTCCAGTATGAAGACATTACATGTTTTTATGGCCAATCCATAAAAATAATACTTCTCTCCAAAAAATTTAAAGTAGACGTGTTAATCTGTTTTTCTGCAGTGTACAGAAGTGTACTTGAGTGTTTTTTTTAATTTTTTATCTCAAATCCCAAGCCATCAGAACCTTGTGAAAAAACGTGGTTAAAGGTGTGTGTGACTGAGTGCAGACCTGCTAACCTTTGGAAAATATTTAACATTAAATCCTGTATATTTTTTTACGATAATTACGATTTTGACATTAGCCATAAAGGAGCTTCAGTAATAATGTAGCTATCTAGGAATATATGAATACCCCACCCACCAAACCCCGTCACACTGATGGTCCTCAAAAAGTTTCCAAGATTGGCAGGTCTGTGAGATGGCAGAAAGCGCATCCCGAATGGTTTCTTTTTTT